ACCCTGTTTTTAATTTTCCTGAAAGTTTCACTTACCCTGAGCGAATTCCCTTTCGGTTCCTGGTGTCTGCTCGAAAAAGAGAAAGAAAGAGAAACCACCACCTTGTCCCAAGTTCGGGCGCCAGAATGTTGCAGACCGAGGGTCCCAAAGAATAGAATAAATTTATAATAAAGAGACAAACAGCCAGGAATGATAGAGAGCAGAGAGCGTGAAAAACAGGGGGCCAACAGTTCCCATGACTGAAGGCTGCCTTTGATTCTTGACTCAGAGAATGAACTTGGAATTGGTTTTGTGTATTGTTTGTGTCTGCGCTTAGAGTGTACGGCCGTATGGACACATTTCTCTGTTTAATGCCCCCTAGATCTAAATTGTAGGCAGCTGGTGAGCAGCAGATTGGGTACCATGTCAGGGAGCTGACCTGTCACCTGAGGGGTCAGACTGCCCAGCCCTCCGTGGGAGCTTGATGGGCTGTCTTTCCTGTGACCATTTACAGCCGCAGAAAGCCAGGGGAACCCTCTGTGAGTCAGAAGTGACTTGATGACAGTTTGGTTGTTTTTTTTTTTTTTAAGATCTCAATTAGTGCTTGCTACATAGTAGATGACAAGTAAATATCAAGTATATTTGGGTTCTCTGATTATAACAGTAGTACTGTATATCAAAACATACCTAAACAACAAAAACACCTAAACTCAGCTAGAAATAAAAATATTTTTTTATTCTAAGATTCAGATAATGGATCTAAATCGCATCTTCTCTTAAAGGAGATTGAAGAGTAACTGTGGTGTTGGATTTTCCCCCCCTCCCCTTCTAGGACTAATGGAATTGAATGGAAGCTGTTCTCAGTTAATAATAGAGCTGTTAAAAAATTTCATGTTGAACCAGAATGTCATGCTTTCTATAAAAGGAATTAATAAGAATGTCCACACAGTGTCCGTTGGAAAATGTTCCGAGAATGGGCCTGTTAATATTGCCAATAAGCTGGTGTCTGGTCTGGCAGAAGACATCACCTCTAAGAATCAAAGCGCTTTTAACAAAGGTATTGTCTTCAACTTGTTACTGAAAGGTGATGTCACTCTGTTCAGTTTCATTGACCTTTCCTTACCTCCTCTGACACACTTCTTTTTCTTTCTTTGCTCTTAGAAAGGATGTTGTTGCTATCTATGTCTTTGAATTGGGCAAACTTTTGGCTGGTTTTCACAGGGTCCCAATCTCATCCGAGGAGATTGCCTTTGCTTCACCCTTGGAGCAGCTGGTGGATTTGAACCACCTGCCTTTGAGTTGACAGTGTAACTCCTTACACTTGGGCCAGCAAAGCTCCCTTTGGCTCAGGGGTGAGGCAGTGCTGATTCCTTCAGCCACCACCTCCGGAGCTGCCTGCGTAAAAGGGCCACGCTGCCCTGTGCTTCCCTTAGGCCTGAGCAGTAGCCTTTCTGTGACCCAGGCCAGGCACTGTGAGAATATCAGGTGTGTTCTCTCTGTGCTTTTAATTCTGGCTTGCTTTTGAGCCTGGTCAAAGTGAAAAGAAATCCTACTTTTTTAGATTAGAACTTACTGTTTGATAGTTTTCTAAAGTGTGTGTGTGTGTGTGTGTTGCTAGTTCTTTTCAGACTTGGCCTCTCAACCAAAAAGGAAGTTTCTATATATGTTTACCAGAAGACCTAAACTTCTCAGTGCATTGATTAGCAAAACCCAGGTTGCTGTAGGTAGATAACCTCAGTGATTACTAAAAGTCCTCTTTCGCTGGGACACATGCCTGCGGTGCTAATCCACACAGGTGCCGACTCTCCCAGCTTGTCTGTCCTGCAGTTTGCGTTGTATTGTCTAACGGCCTCTTGTGTTTGTTTTCTAGAGAAGCAGTGCAGGACAGACTGCTGCTGTGCAGACTTACAGAAACAGGTGAGTAGACACTGCTGTTCCCAATGTCGCCGCCTCACAGTTTTCACGCTAAACAGATGCTGTTTCTTCTTCACCCACAGGTTGAGAAACATGAGAAGGTTCTTCGCTTTCTCTTAAACACCCCAACCAATCAGAAGAGGTTTATCGAAATGGAAAAACTGTTAAGCCGTTAAAGTGCCTTGGTGATGTTTTTTCACCACGTCTGTGACCCTCCGGGAGGACCAGGCCCAGTTGTCTTGTCAGGATGAACCTGAGTGAAGCCCTGGCAGATACCTGGCTTGAGATGCTGTAGCTGCCAGCTGGCTGTAACGTTGTTGCCGTTAGCCTAGGTTTTGTTCATTATACGGAGGCCCTTGGAACTGAGCCCCAAGGTCTTCAGGGTGCAGCAGTTCCTGATTTTTGTTTCACGTCCTGTTTACATAATGTCCTTTTCTTTTGGGCACGCTGGTGGTGGTAATACTTTTGAAGGATTTGTAAAAATTACTCAAAGCATTACCTCACGTCTGTATACTTCAGTTTAACATTGATACAGTTGTATACATTCCTAGAAAAAATGTTTAGCACCAGTTAGTGAGGAAGTGATTAAGTGGGACAGAAGGGGGCAGGTGGGCTATACAAACTGTATATTTTGTTTCAGAATACACAGACACACACATATACACCCCACCCCTCCCTCTCTTTCTCTCTGCTGCATTGATTGTAGTTTTGAGAGAACATACTAGAGAGCTCTTAACACAATAGCTCCTCTCTGGTTTGTGTTTTGGGACCTTTTGCCTAAAGTGACCTTCAGAAATTACTTTGCGACCAAAGCCATTTAAAGCTTCTGGTCAAAATGAAGTTATCCTTTAGCTGTAACTGTGTTAGCTAATGTGTAACTTTTCTTTGACTATCAGAGTTATCAGAGTGTTATCAGAGTTCTGGTACTCCCTCTGGTCACTGTGGCTTTGTAAACTTCCAATAGGGACTGCCGTGTTAAAATCTGTGTTTCACTTCATGGTGTGTTGTTTGTTCTGAAAGCTGAGTTCTAAAGGTCAATGTCATTAACATAAGAGCAACAGCATTGATTCCTAGGATTTGTTTCTTTTACAACCTGTTAAGTTATTTTCAGTGAATGCTGATTGGTGATTTCAGTTAGAATTTTCAGCCCCCGTTTGTTTTCAACTCTTAATACATTAGGTTTTAATACTGACTGCTGTTTTGTGTACTTGTTTAACATCTTTAAATTTGTTGGAAATCTTAATTCCATTGATTGAGGAACATGCACTGACAATGCACTCCTAAGATTTAATCCCAGAGCCCAATCACCAGATACTTTTCGATCAAGTATGTTAATTTGCATGTGCTTTTATCGTTTTTTGCTCTGAGTCATAGGCTGACCTCAGAAGGATATTGATGACCCCTTACACACAAGGTCAGATGAGACCTGTATTTTTAATTAACTCTCGGTAGATTGAAAGACAGGATTTGGTAACAAAGGGGAGAAAACAAAACAAAACAAACTAAAAACTTGAAGAATGGTAGTTGAACTGGTTTCCTCTTCTATAAGATAAAATGTGTAGTTTTCCCTACATTTAAGTACAGTATAGGGCCTTCTGTAAGGACAGTGTTTTATTTACAAAGTATATTCGCATCTAAGCACATAGTTAATCTTCATAATACCTTCAAATGCAAGTAGGCCCATTTTACAGATGAAAAAACTTAAGCTTAGAGGGATTTAATACCTCCCCAGTCACTCACAAATGAAAAACAAGATTTTGGGGGACACAGCTCAGTTTTCCGCACTGCCCTGAGCTGCTGCTGATGTGGGGTATAGTAGTGCCCCTCTGGGTGAGTTCTGTAACTCCTGAAACTAAGGGGCTCTGGTGTTAGAAAAAGTTACATACGTGGTTACTTAAGCATACTTGATTATTGTGCTGAAAGTACCGTTGAATGTTTACTCTCTCATTTATTCTTAGAGATAGAAGTAATGTATTTAAAATTAACTTGAATGGTTCGTTATCATTGGAAAAATGTGCTTTAACTTTTGTTGATCATTTAATTACTAAAATAGGGCTACTGTGATGAGAAGAGACCACAAACCCCTTGTTAAAATCTCTTGCTCAGTGATAAATAGGTTAATGTCAAATATGTCAGATACTGAAGGGAAGTGCAAACAGCTGTGACACGTAGCCCTGTTACCAGCAGTGTTAGAAAGCATTAACTGACAGGTCCGTCTTTTAAATGTAGCTGTTAGGAGAGCATATTTGGTTTGGTCATACTTAGAGGATTGTTAATGATTGAGATGATAGATAAAGTATAAGGATAGTTAATTGTTCTATTCTAGAAACTCTTTCTTGAAAGAAACACGAGAAAGGGCAGCATCTCATGTGTTTTTTTTTTTTTACTTAGAGGCTGTGAGTAAAACCCGGCTTTGTGTTACTGTTGGACTGGTCTAGTTGATCATACGTCTTCCAGGACCAGTTGCTGTTGAGTTAACTCTGACTCCTAATAACCCATGTGTTCTTGAGTTTTTATTTTTTTTTTAGACTCTGATTCCTGTTTTTTCATACTTTGCTCTCTCGTCCTGTCTTCGTTCTTCGCCTCTGCATGTGGTGCTGCTGTGTGGTCTGTCCTCATGGTATCAGCTTGTCCTCTCCCGTCCCCTCCACAGTCACCTGGTCCCTTTACTTTGTCCTCTGCAGCATCGTTTTTCTTTGATCTTTGGACGTGTCATCTCTAGGCTGCTCTGACAACATCAAGGAACTTTCTGTTACTGCCAGAGCTTCCAGGTCTATAGGTATTTGGGAAAATGGTTATTAGATTTTGTATTGTAGATTAAATTTACTTTTGTGGGAAGCACAAAGAACAGTTACGAATTTAAATTCATAACTTACATTAAGAGTATATATTTGCATGTGAAGTGATGTTATATTAAGCTCGACTGTACAGAATTTTTTGCTGTATAGAATTCTGTGTAGAGGTTACATAGCATTTGGAAAAAAAATTTCAGGACTATCATAGGATGACAATTTAAGAAAGTGTTGTCATCCAACTCAAAGCAGACACATAAAGACTTAGACCCCTTAATATGGTAACGTGTTGGCTAATCTGTTAGATTAAATGGAATTTATTCCTCATTAAAAAGTTGTCTAAAAGCAATGTGCTTGTACTGTATAAAAGTTTGTGCACCTTTGCCCAATAAAACCTATTTGGTTTTTGACCAGATTTTGTTTATGTGTTGTTTGTTTCTCATACACATGAGAACCCCAGATGTGTCCATTTAGATGGTTTGGTTCCACCCAATGAAAAAGCCAATTGCAATGATGGAATCACAATAGTGACTTCTTTTAGTAAGGAAAATTACCAGCACATAAAAATGTAAGTCAGTGTTCATGACTTTAACTTCCCTGTATATTATTATGGTCCTAGAATTTTATATAGACATTTGTTTCACTTAATGGATTTAATGATGTTCTTTCACTCTTTTTTTTTGTTCCCAAAAAGAGATTAATAACTTCCCCCCACCCAAAACATGAGTTAAGTGTCTCATGGAGTCAGCCTACTTATTCAGTAATACCAAGTCTTACATTCAGATAGGCTTAAGGTGTTTCTATTTAAATTAGCATGTGAGTTGTGGGCTTTAATAATTTAAATCCTTCCTCCACTCCAGGCGTGTACCTGACTCTGTAGTAGGTGTTGGACTCACTGCTCGGTTGGGCCGGCCACCCCATCTCATCTTCAGAGCTCTCAATACCTGCTCTGTCACAGATCTGAGCCCCAACACCCAAATCCTTTATTTCTTGGTAGACGCCACAAATAATAAGTCACGGACTTGTAACATGTGGACTTCACTAATAACTGAATTCCAAGGGTTGGGAGCGGGAGAAAGTGGGTTCAATATGCATTAACTTCTTCCAGAATTGTTAAACACTAAAATCGTGATAGGCTTAACGTGCTGAAATTGAGCTCTCTCCTTATAAACTCTCCAGAAAACCATTACATGAATTCCAGGAGAGATGTCTGTGAGGCTCACAGCTGGGAGGCTAACAGCCAGGCAGAGGCAATAAACTGTTAGTTTTGCAGAGACTTGCACACCAGTTTTATTGCAGCACTATTCAGGATAGCCAGAAGATGGGGGGGGGATACCCTGAAACCCCTGACTGATGAGAAGCCAGATGTGATGCATGCAGTAAGTACATACAGTGGTATACTACACTAGGCAGTAAGTGAAGTAAATCTTCATGTGTTACTGTTGGATAGAGCTGGAAGACATGCTGAGCAAAACAGACCAATCATGGCAGGACAAATACTGTATGACCTTAGTACATAAGAAACAAGGGAAGGCAAATGTCCAGAGACCAGAGTTTATGATTACCACAGGGTGTAATGGGGATGGAAAAACTGCATCGAGAATAGGGCAACTTGTGATTGAGGCACTTATTCCATATCCTATTTACATTATTCAGATTAATAAATATTTACAATTATAAACTAAAGATAGGACTGCTTCCAGGATTGATTTCATTATGTTTTAATAACTTTTTGCTCAGCAAATTCAGGTTCACAAAAATTGACTACTACTAATATGCTTGAATTGTGCATTACTTCTTTTATTTGTATGTTTCAGTAATTAAATGCCAATCTTTATTTCATTAACACATAAACTACCACCTTGACTGAATTTACTTACACACTCTCTCCCCCGTCTCCCTCCCCTCCCCCTCCCCCTCCCCCTCCTCCCTCCTGGTGGCTTAGTGTTAAGAACCTGCAGTGGCAATCCTAAAGGCAAACTGTTCAAATCCACCAGCTACTCCAAGGGAAGGGGATGAGCAGCTCCTCCCGGTGAGTAATGTCAGTCACAAAAGGATAATTGCAGTGTAGACCACAAGGTCAGCAGTGAGAAGGGGAGGGGGCAATAAACCCATTGTGGTGGTGTGTACCGTAGAGTTGGAACTGACCCATAGCTGTTCCTCTTGGGAGTTTTCATTCAGGGGCAATCACAAGGGAGGAAATTGCCCCTCATTCACAGAGCAGCTGGTGTCCTTGAACTGTGTGCCTTCGGGGTTGCAGCGCAGCTTCTTGCCACTAGGCCACCAGAGCTAGTGTTTTCATCTTTAATATTCCTAAATTTTTGAAGTGTTCTCCCCTTTGTAGCTGTCTCCTCTCCCTATGGGGTTGGGGTGTGGAGAAAAGACCTTCAACAAGATAGAATGACAGGGGCTCTAACGGTGGGCTCCAGGACAGCAGAAATGAGGAAGATGGGCAAGGTGCCCTTCTGTTGTATACAAGGTCTCTAGAAATCAGTTCATCCTATTGCAATAGCTGCTGGAATGCATTATTAGATTTCTTTGGGGCAGCAGTGTTGAGAGGGGGAGACATACAGGCAAGGCTCCCTGCACTGGTGGGGGGACTGACTGAACGCAGCTTGTTGCTCTGGGATGGTTCTATTGGTGCTTCTAGGCTCAGTCCGTGTTACAGGAAGGAAAGAATTGAAAAACGAGCCCCCTTCCTCTTTAGTGAAGGCTGCAACACAAAGTTTAGTATGTGCAATTATCCCAGAAGCTCTCATTGGTCAGGCGAAGGGATTGAAACAGATTAGACTGCAATGGTTCTTGACATTTCTGAAAAGGAAAGATGCATATGCAAGAAAATTATTTGCCTATCAGATTTAAAAGAAAAATGGAAGGGAGAGGGGTGCGTGGGAAAAAAAGAAATAGGCAAGCCTTCCTGGAGGGTAATTTGATGCTTTGTAATTACAAGACTTAAAATGGGTAGGTTCATCATATAATAAAAGAACTATGTCCCTGAGACACATTGCATTTGTCCAGCTCAATCTAAGGAAGTGATTGAGCACAAGCAGAGATAACTGATTGTATTGTTTAAATTTGAACGTTAACAGACTTCTTGTGTACTGCCAAGTGAGAACCAACTCGTGTGAACCTCAAGTCATTTTTCAGAGGCAGTAAATCTCCTGGGAGGAGATTGCCCATCTTTCTCCCAAGGTGTAGCCTCTGGATTTGAACCTCCTGCCTTTAGGAAGCCACCAGAGACCCCTGAGAACACCAGCCTATTATGTAGTAGCTAAAAACGGGCACAGATATTCACTGATAGAACTAGAAAAGCTGGTGACAGGACAGTAGGTATGTGTGCTATTAGCTGTCATCCATTGGACTATGACTCAAAGTGACCCTATGAACAACAGATAGGGATCGTATGGTAAGCTATCTCATTGAGGGTCTTCCCCTCCTTCCTGCCACTTTGCTTTTTTCCCAGCCATGATGTCTTTTCCAAAGTGGTGCCTCCTGAGAATATGCCCAAAGGAGGTGAAATGAAGTTTGAGCATCCTTGCCGCTAAGGATTGCAAGTTCCCAGAGTGGGTTGGTCCTTTGGCAGTATTTATGGAATGAGCTAAAATCAAGACAATTTATAGGCAAGGAGAAGACACCGGAAGGACTTAGACCACCGTGCCTGCGGTGATACCTGCGCGGTGGGGTTTTAAACGACTTTACTATTATTACTTGCAGTAAGCATGCATTGTGCAATGACGATTTTGATGAAATATTAAATCTACAAAGATGGACAATTCTAGCCTGCTTTTATTGAGTTACTACTATGTGTAAAGCATTTCTGGCATTGTGCTATTTTGTGGTATTAAAAACCAAAACCAAATCACAACAAACTGGGCACCTCTAGACTTCAATTGATTGTCCAAATGGCTGGGTTCCCGCCGCTCATCTGCAATAACAGACTGGTAAACAAAAGGCAAAGGCCAGGACAAACAGAAACGATGCCAAAGTCAACACTTACTGATGGGTCAGAGCAATAAATCACGGTGCGGAGCAGACAGCAGATGGCAGGGCACAGTCACTGTTGCAACTTCCCGAGGTCTGAGGCCGGCGTGTCTCAGAACCTTTGTTTACGCACCAACCTCGGCTGGAGCAGCAGTCCCGGGGAGCACGATCTGGGTGAGGCTCCGCCCGGCACAGGGATCCCTCTGCCCGTCGCTCCGCCCCCGGGAGCGTGCCCCTGGCTCCCCTGCGCCCCTTCCGCACCCCGCGGCGAGAACACAGGTGCCCCACGTGGCGCGCCCTGCTCCTGCGCGCCCCCTGCCCGCACAAGCCGTGTGCAGGCGGCCCGGGAGACTCGGTGCAGCGCCCTGAGCAGCCAGGGCACCTGGAGGGGTGCAGGGCCGTGGTGCCCAGCGGCGTGCGCTCTTTTTTGTCTGCGCCCGACCTGAACTCTCGTCAAGGTGCCTTCCCGGAAGAGGCGTCCTCAGCAGAGCGCACCGCCTGGGGCGCGCACAGGTCCCAAGCTCGCGGCGCGGCCGAGCCCACCTTCTTCAGGCGATGAGTGGAGGGGCTGCACTGCAGGTAAGGACGGTGGGCGCGGTGACTGCAGGTGGAGGCAGGAATCCTAGATTTAACCAGGGGTACAGCCTAGGCCCTATCCCCGGTGGTGGGAGATGACTAAAGTTTGGGGCAAAGGCTCAGGGGACCTGCGTGTTCCCCCTTCCCATTTACAGGGCTTATGCAGATGTTTAAGAAGCGCAGGGGTGTAGTGAGTGGTGAGTAATGTGTGCAAACAAAAGGTTGCAGGTTCAAATCTACCCGTGGCATCTGGACAGAAAGATGAGTCCTCTCCTGTAAAGATTTACAGCCTCAGAAACCGCTGGAAAGCCACTATCAGCTCGGTGGCAATGGCTGGATCGACGGATGGAGACAAGTGTTAAGGTGACTTCCTACAGCTTCCGCAGAAAACCAAGTGACCGCAGAGAAGTCTCTGTAGGCGAAGCCCCAGAGTGGCCCTGAGAGAGAAGCAGCGACGGTTATCCAGTGGATTGTACCCACGATGGCTTCATGGACAAGCGCCACTCGTGCCTCCCAACCCTGTCTCCTCCTGGGCCTCTGTGTTCAGCCACCTGCTGGGACGGTGAATGAGAGAGGTTCTCAGGGTCCCACATTTCAGAGGGAGCAGGTGCTTTAAAAGGTAAAACACTGTGGGCACCTGGGCAGAAAAGAAGGGAGGAGGCCCCCTTGCAGTTCTTTCCTTGTGGATCTGACAGGGGATGGAGACCTTTCCTACGGTTTTCAGATGACCCTTTAATGAAAGAAGGAAATAATCACTAAATAAATGTGTTACGAGTTCACGTTTAAAATTTACACTCAGGTTTGTATTGAGATAGGTGCTTGTATTGAGAATAGTCAGAAACCAAAGCTTCCACCAAGTTGACAAATCCCCGGCTGATGGGGGTAGGTGGGGTTCAGAGCTCCCTGTGTTGACTCTTCATTTGGGTAGCAGGTCACTCTTCTGGGGTAGAAATCCAGCTCAGAGTGCGGCTTGAGGAAGGGTTTTCCCGTTCTGGGTCCCCCTGAAACAATGGCGTGAAGCTCCTTCCTTCATCATCTTTGTTTGCTTGCTTGAAAGTCACCAATGATGTGTTCTTCCTTAACTCTGCTTCTCCGTTGCTGTTGGATTTCCTTTGACTCAGCATGGCCCCGTGTGACAGAGGAGAACTCTCCTCAGTAGGGATTTCTTGGCTGTGATCATTACGAGAATCAATTGCCAGATCTTTTCCCCATGGAGCAGCTCAGTGAATTAGAACAGCTAACCTTTAGGCTAGCAGCTCAGTGCTTCCCTTTTGCACCTCCTGGGCCCCTTAGCCAGAGCTCAGAGTAGCTATTTCTCCTCCACTTCCATGGAGCCAGGTACCCTGAAGTGAGTAATAGAGACCCCTGCTTTCTACAAATGCGCAAAATGAGATACCACCACTCCCCACCTCTCGAGAGAGAGGACATCCTGAAGGAAAGTTCCAGAGCCTGCCAGGAACCTAGACCCTGGGTTCTTTAATGAACTTCATAAAGGGCACAACTGTAGTCTGTAGAGAATTGAACTGCCAGTTCAAAAGCTGTACCTCTCTGGAGGTTTGAAGTCACCAGTGGTGTAGGGGAGAAAGATGGGCAGTCCCTCCTGTGTGAATGACAGCCTCAGAGCCTCCATGAAGGTCGGTTATGAGTTAATTCCTGTTCAAGGGTGATGCATTTTTCATTTGCCCTCATCCAGGGAGCTCCTGAGTGAATCTCTTAACATGACACTTCTAGCCATAATCTCCATGACTCGTGTGCAATGATTGGGTGGCAGTGTACAGATTAGGTACCAAAGGGATCAAACAGTTGGCTGCTGATGCAAATTACGTGCATGGAAGCCCATGTGGGGCTGGGGCTGTATAGATAAAAGCAGCATGGAACCCTAGTAGGGGATCGGTCAGCTTTGCCGTCCTGTGAAGGTTTAAAGGGAGATTCATAGGGTGAGAGCGACAGATGAGCTGTCACATGGAAGACAGTGGAGAAATGGCAACACAGGAGTACTAAGAATGTCAGCAGTGCTAGATGGCAGGGGCCAGACGACTCGGGAGGTACGTGGGGTGGCCTCGGGACTGAGGAGCTGAGAGCTGGAGCACTTGCTGGAGAAACCCAACAGAATCTAGCAGCACAGGGTGACAGTCACAAATTGAGGCTAACAGGTAGTCGTGTTGTACCCTCTTAACTTCTTAATTAACCGCTTAATGATGAGATCTGTGAGGCGTTACCGTGACTCCAGAGCCTGAAGACCAGAGCAAGAATATAGGAGAGAGGGAGAAGAGTTGATGTTGGACACGGTGGAAGAGTGAATGGTGCAGCAGGCTGGAAAATGGTGATGTTTGCAGTAACACTTTATCACATGACTTGAGGAGGTCCTTAAAACAGTTGAATCTTGAGTGGTTTAAAACCCTTAAGCCCTTAGCTGCTACCCAAAGTTAACAATTTGACCTTCTCGAAGCCTATCAGAAGAAAGGTCTGCTGCTCTGCCTTCAGCATAGGCATTGCAAGGCACATTGCATACAGTGTCCATCTCTGACCACTCATGGGCCACCATGAGTCAGAATCACTTCCCTGCAGCTGGTTTGGGTTTTGAGTATGAGCGCTTTTAAAAGCAATAGTGGAGTGGCTGGGTTAACTTGAGACGCTCACAGTTGGACCGATGAATGCATAGCTGAGGTGGGGGGCAGCTTGTTGCCTGCAGTCACCAGCCGGTTAGGAGGGGAGCTGTGTTCGAATCCCATGTTCTGACTTCCAGTCTGTGTGCTTGCCACAGCCCCTCAGTGCTTCCCTGAATCCCTCTGCTATGAACTGGTGTCCCATCCAACATAAAAGCCTTTTCCGACCTCCTCAAAGCGACCGTGAGCAGCTCTCCTGGCCCCACGTGTCTCTTTGCAGGTGCAGTGACGTACGGGACCTGTAATTTCTTCTGTCTGCCCAGCTCTCTCCTCTGTACTGTCAGAGAATCCAGAATGGTCCATTGTGTAGCCAGACTCATGGTTGTCAGCTTGTTGGATACAGAAATATTGCCTATTCCTTTTTAGAGTCTACAACTTTTCTGGGCAGCTTTGAAACGACTTTGTCTGCTGTTATCAAACCAGAAACTTATCACCACTTCCCTGATTCCCTGAGTCTTAGCCAAGTATTTTGCCAGGTGGACAAGGAAGACGATTGTTCCAGAGAAAGACAGTAAGACCTTCCCTCCAGTTGTTGTCTTCCTGTTCAGGTGCTGTCTTCCTGTGAACAGCTCAGGTTTCCAACCGTCCTGTGGCTGGTTCAGAAGCAGTCACAGAGAGCTGCTCTAATATTTGGGGTCGTGTTTGCATGTTGTAAGGAGGTGGAAGTGGTGTCCTTTTCCACCCTGCCCTCGTTTCATTTCCGACTGGAGAAGAGAAGGGGGCATTGTCCTGCAGAACTGCCTTCAGCTGTCGCCACTCGGCCCTTCTTAGTCTACAAAGTCGCTCTGTATGGGCCTTTGTTTGTGCCTGTGTCCCGGGAAATGGTGAGAGAGGAGTGTTGTCACAGTGTCCTGCTTCAGACCTTGCTCACCTGCCCCAGCTCCGGCTGATCCTGTGCTAGGTCCGAGGCCTGGAGTGAGAGGAAATGATGACAGGAGGGGAGAACCTGGAGCCAGTTGTGAGCGCCCCAGCCTCCAGGAGTCAGGCGTGGGAGAAGCATGAGTCACAGAGCAGCATGAAAGGAATGGGCTGAGCGGGTGGTTTGTGATGGAAAAGGCTTGACCAGATGCAGCTGGAAAGCATTCAAGAAGGCCGAGAGCCCCGGCTATCACTTCTCCAGTTCTGGAGTTGTGGCTCGGGGCCAAGCCCG